CACCCCTGTCCCTGTGGGGTGGCCCCGCCATCGCTGTCCCCTCGCCCTCGGTGGCCCTGTCATCCCTGTCCCCACGGCATGAGATATCCACGCCATCTCTGTCCCCATCCCACAGAGCGTCCCTGCCATCCCTATCCCCATGGCACAAGGTGTCCCTGCTGTCCCTGTCCCCATGGTAAGGGGTGTCCCTGCTGTCCCTATCCCATGGGGTGTCCCTGCTGTCCCCATCTCCGTGACACAGGGTGTCCCTGCAGTCCTCATCCCAACCCCATGGTGTGTCCCTGCCATCCCCACACCACGAGCTGTCCCTGCCATCCCCACCGCTGTCCCTGATGTCCCTGTGGTCCCCATCCCCACCCCATGGCTGTCCCTGTCCCCGTGCAGGGTGCAGTCGGAGGGGGCCGTGGGGCTGAGCCCCGAGGAGCAGCAGCGCTGGGCCCGGCGCCTGGCCCGGCACCTCACCGCTGCCACCCACACCCTCACCCGCCCGTTCCTCGTCCACAGCCTCCCCGAGTCCCTCAAGGTGACCATCACCCCACACGGGACGGGGGGCACTGAGGACGTGGGGGGCACTGGGGGCATGGGGGACACTGGGGGTACGGGGACATGGAGGACACTGGGGACATGGGGGCACTGGGGGCATGGGGGGCATTGGGAATATGGGGGACACCTGGGGCATGGGGGATCTAGGGGCACAGGGGACATGGGGGACATGGAGGATACTGGGGGCATGGGGACACCAGGCCATGGGGGTACAGGGGACACTGAGGGACAGGGGCATGGGTGCCCCACAGGCACAAGGGCATGGGGGGTACCGGGGATGTGGGGTACGAGGGCGCAGGTTGCCTGGGGGTCACCCGGGGCGGTGACGACGAGGGTGATGGTGAGGGTGACGCGATGCTGGGCTCTGGCTGCAGTTCGCCTTCTTGTTCTACCTGCTGACCTACGTGGGGGCCGTCTGCAACGGGCTGACGCTGCTGGGAGCAGGTATGGCACCAGGACGGACAGGGGTGGCACGGGGAGGCAGACAGGGACAGCACGGGGAGGTGGAGGGGACACGGGACAGGAATGGCAACAGGGATGGGACAAGGTATGGGGACAGGGCATTGGCGTGGGGGACAGGGACGTGGGAGAGGGATAGGAGATAAGGGACATGGGATGGGGACAGGGACAGGGGATGGGGGACAGGGATGGGGCATGGGGACAGAGGACAGGGGATGGGGACAGGGCACAGGGGTAGGGACAGGGGACAGCATGGGGCCCGGGGACAGGCACAAGGACAGGGGCTGGCATGGGGACAGAGTGTGGATATGGCTAGGGGACAAGGGGACAGGTGTAGGGGACACGAGTAGTGCCTGGGGACAGGGAGATGGCCCAGGGATGGGGGACACCACGGGGACAGGGCATGGGGACAGCCTGGGGACAGAGGGATGGCACAGGGACAGGGGACAGGACGGGGACCTGGCCTGACGTGGCACTCCCTGTCCAGGCGTTATCTGCGCGTTCACCTTCCCCGTGCTCTACCGGCACCACCAGGTACGGGGACACGGGGGTTGGGGAGGGTTGGGGACACAGGGGGACACGGGGGGACGCGGGGGTCTGGGGATGGTCGAGGGGTACCCCTCTGCCCCCCCC